GGCCCGTGTGCTGTGAGCCCACCCCCTGCCCCTCGTCCTGCTGCAGACCCTCCTCCTCCGTGTCCCTGCTCTGCCGCCCCGTGTGCAGACCCGCCTGCTGTGCCCCCGCCCCCTCCTGCCAGCCCAGCTGCTGCCGCCCGGCCTCCTGCGTGTCCCTGCTCTGCCGCCCCAGGTGCTCCCACCCCACCTGCTGCGTCCCCGACTCAGCCTAGAAGTCCTGCTGCTGACCGGGCCCGTCCCCCCTGGGCCAGCCGGGCTCAGATCCCACCCTGACTTGGTCCCCAGCTTCTCCCCAGTCGGGTCCTGACCTGTGTCAAGCGGCTGACCCACTCAGCACAGGGCCAAGTCTGACAGCCACATCCTGGTTTGCTCCAACTCTCAGGCCATTTCCGTGTCTGCAGTCCAGTCCTTCTCTGAGCTGGAAGGGGTGGAAAAACTCCAAGACCATCTAAATGCTGTGGCTCGGGGGGGGCTCCCAGGAAGCTCCCCTGGCCACAGCCCCCTGCCAGTTCTGCCTCTTGCGAGGATGAGCTCAGCCTCCCTCTGTGGTGTCCGTCCCTCAGCTCAGTGACTCTGGACTCTTAAGCAAACCGCCCATAAACGCCTGGCCCTGCGCGCAGTACGATGTCCGTGTGTTCGTGCGATTATTCCTCAGCTTAACCTCACATCCCCTTTCCCTCCACACACACGCCTCTGCCCTCCTGCAGGGCCCTGTGCTGTCTCCTGGGCTGGGTCCCGACAAGGGTGCCGAGGGTGGGGTTGGCTTTGCAGCCCGGGGTCACTTGGGCCCTCTCGGGAGCACCCTTCCCCCTCCTGCGTGTCATTCACTGAGTAGCTATTTTCCTTGTTTTGACTCTGTAGCCTCCTCCCCGCAGACATTTCCCACGGGGCCTGTGCACACAGGGCACCGCTGAACCTCAGGTGGAACTGGGCTTGGCGATGTCTCTCCTGGAGCCCAGAGCCCAAAAAAGTTACACTGAGGTTCCTCATGTCCCGCCAGGAGCCACTGCTAGGGCTCCTGTTTGGAGAATGTTGGCTGCGTGGGCCAGTCCCCGGGGCAATGGGCGTGTCTCAGGCGGGGCCTGAACTTAGCTGGAGTGTTTCCCAGAGTGGAAGGAGGCAGACTCAGCTTCAGAGTCAGGGTAGATCTTGAGAAGTCAAAGCGGGGAGTCAGAGGTTGGACTGGAAGAGACAGAGCGCCCAGACAGGCAGGCAGCCTTCACTTCGGGCCGTCATGCACCTGACTCATCCTCCCCCCGTAAGTCATTAGAAAGTGGGACAAAAGATATGAAACACTTGTTTTCAGACATTGGCCGACTGATGGTGCGGAGCTTGGGACACAAAGAGGGGAGCCCTGAGATTGCCCCGCTCACTGGCCGAGAGTCTCCCAGACGCAGCACAAGGGGTGGTGGGCACACGTGATATGCATGGTGGCTTTGCTGAGCTGAAGGGCCTAGAATGAGTTCAAGGAGGCTGAGGCAGCTGGGCTGGTAGGGCAGGCGCAGGAGAGGAGGGAGAGGTGCAGAGAAAAGCTCCCCGGGGTCCCCTTGAGTTCTTTGCTGAATATGAAGCCCTGCATTCGAAGCTCAGAACCATGGGGCTGTCAAAAACAACTGCGCGTCACTAAGGTGAAC